GAGCTCCTTCACTCAGTAAATGTAGCTAGCCAGCTTGCTCTTAGATCGTCTTTCTTCTCCCATGCCCTGGAATGACAGCTGGGCCGCCATATCTTGGGACATCCAAACTCTGGTCCTTGTGCTTATGTGGCAAGTGCTTTCCTTGCTGAGTCATGTCCCATTAATGTTTTATGACCTAAGATGCATCCCAGTTTGGTGATTATTTCATGGGCCTTTCAAGGCTATGTATTCTGTTCTCAGTCACAAATGGGACATCTATATCACACTCCCTCCCCCAAAGGGCTCAGGGACCATGGCAGAAGAGTGGGGTGGGAACATTTTAAGAGCCAGAGGTAAAAGAGAAAAGCAAAACTGCCTTCTGGACATGACAAGACCACTTCACCTATGAATTCATAGTAGCTGTGGTTGCCTGCACAAGACCTGTACAAAGTCAAGCCAGTCAACATTCCAGCATGAATGGTGTGGTGGTTTGAATTAAAATGTCCCCCATAGGCTCCAAGTATGGCACTTTTTTGGGAGGTCTTAGAAGGTATGGCTATCCTGGAGAAAGCACATCACTGAGGGATGGGCTTAGAGAGTACTTAAGCCTTGCCGGATCTCCAGTCACTCTCTTGCGTCCTGTGCCTGCTTGAAGATGCAGAGCTTAACTTTTACTGCTCCTGCTCCAGCTACCTCCAGACACCATGCCTCCCTGCCATAATGGACTGTAATTCCCCTGGAACCATAAGCTCAAATAAACTCTTCCTTTTATAAATTACTTTGTTTAGTGTTTCTATCACAGCAATAGAAAAGTGACTAATACAGATGGGGAAGGGGCACACAAGACCCCACCCCTAACTGAAGAGCTATTGACTGTCGATGGCTTCTGGGGGAAGGGAAATCAGTTTTCTTTAAGGTTGTGGTCCCTGCTAGGTTGACCATGCTCCAATGGATCTCTTCACAAATTGCACTCAGTGGGTTATAATAATTATTTTTAAAAGTACACAAAGGTGGGAGGGGGTAGACCTGGAAGGAATTAAGGGGAGGAGTGAGGGGCTGAGTATGATTAAAATACATTGAATGCATGTATGAATTCTCAAAGAATTAATAAAAGGATTTTTTTTAAAGACTGTATTCTGCTGCTGTTGAACAGATTATGACGAGTGTCAATTAAGTTCTGTGAGTTGGTGGTGCTGTTGAGTTCTATGTTTTTGCAGATTTTCTCTCTAGTTCTTAGAAGCTCTGAATGCAGAGACAAAGGAGTTTGATGGCCCAACCACAACTGTGGATTCGTACATTTCTTCATTCAGGTTAGTTTTTGCTTCACACAAGAGAAGCTCTAGCGTTTGGTTCACAAGATAGCTCCATCTCCTCAGTGGATTGATCCTTTGCCATTTTATAGCACCCCTCTTTGCCTGGCAGATCATATTGTCTGCAAGGACCTTGGGGCTCACTATGGTAACTTTCTTTGCCCTGTACTGTTTTGATAATACAGCCACTCATATTTCTTTTTAACTGGTATTTGCATGTGCCTCCTTTTCCATTCTTTTGCTGTAAGTCTACTTAATTCATGGAATTTGAAGTGAGTTTCTTGGAAACATTATATAATTGAGTCACTTAAAAATATTTGATTTATTTTTATTTTATGCGTATAAGTGTTTTTCCTGCATGTACGTAAGTGTACCACATGTGTGTCTGGTACCCCTGGAATCCAGAAGAGGATGTTAGACTCCCTAGAACTAGAATTAAGCACAGTTGTTAACTGCCATATGGGTGCTGGGAACTGAACCCAGGTCCTCTAGAAGAGTCATAAGTGCTCTTAACTACTAAGCTATCTCTCCAGTCCAACTCACTTTTAATAATATTAAGTTTTTTATATTTTTGAGAATTTTGTACATAAAGAACTATACATGAGTGCTGTAGTTACATCATATCCACCCCTCTCTCTCCCTTCTCCAAATCCTTACATGTTCCCCCCACCCTTTCAATTTCCAGACCTCGTCTTTAATTTTTATTGTTGCACACCCCCACACACATTCAGACAGAAAGACACATAGGTATATATGTATATGTAAACAACCTATTGAGTCCATTTTGTTGTGCAAGTTTGAATGTGTATTTAGGGCCAACCACTTGGGATGAGATAACTTATCAGGGGCTCATTCCTGGAAATTTCACCCATCCACATTGGCATGTCAGCTAGGATTGTCATTATGCAAATCTTGTTTAGGCAACCATACTGTTGGGATTTCATGGATGCAGCAGGCATCCTGGTCCTCTGGCTCTTGTTTATAATCATTATGTGCTTTCTAAGATTTATATTTTTATTACATTTATTTATTGTGTGCGTGTGCATGTGTGTGTGTGTGTGTGTGTGTGTGTGTGTGTGTGTGTGTGTGTACACGGAGGGCATTGGAACCCCTAGAACTGGAGTTATAGGTGGCTGTGAGCTGCCCAAGATGGGTGTTGGGAACCAAACTGGAGTCCTTTGGAAAAGCAGCAAGCACTCTTAACTGCTGAGCCATCTCTCCAGTCCTGGGTCACATTTTAAAATCTACTCTGCCTCTCTGCATTTCAAGTGGCGTATTTAGAACATTTACCTTTACGAACATTGTTGATACGTCAGGGTTAAGTCTAACATTTCATTATTGGCTTTTGTTTGTTCTTCCTTCTGCATCATTTTTCTGGCCCTCCTGTGGGTTTCTTGAACATTTTAGGGTTCTACTTGATTTCATTATCATATTTTTTCTTAGCACATTACTCTCTATTGTTTCCTTAGTGGCAATCATGTTAGCAAACTCTGTTGCTGGGCAACTTGTGTGTGAAGGGGAGAATTAGCTGCTTGGCCTGAGCCTTCTAATGCCAGAGTGGATGGAGGAAGACCCAGGACTTCGCTGCTGCTACTCGGGTGACAGGCCACTTGCTAATGTCCAGTTGTGGATCAGAGGTGCTGCTGTTGTTGGCTGATCTACAAGATCTTGGGTTGTAAGAATAAGGGTCTGTCAGGCATGGTGGCACACGCCTTTAATCCCAGCATTTGGGAGGCAGAGACAAGCAGATCTCTGTGAGAGCAAGGCCTACCTGGTCTACATAGTGAGTTCCAGGTGGGTTGGGGCTAGGGAGACTCTGCCCCCCCCCAAAAAAAAAGAAGAAGAATGGAGGTCTGCAGCCTCTGAATGAGTCTCTGTTGGGAATTCTCTTTCCAAGGACTTTGGCCCGAGAGAACAAGACGTTTCTTACCTGTGCCTCTTGGTGATTCCAGCTGCAAACCTCCCCCGAGCCCAGTCAGAAAGAGAGAGGAAAAGGAAAGCCAGGGAACTCACAGCATCAGTTTCCCAGGTCTTGCTGCTTCCCACCAGCATACTTCATTTCCTCCCAGCTTTGATAGCTCTTGTCACCATCTGTTGAAAAATTTCCAGAACAGTTAGCTATAGTTAGAGAAGAGGGATGGGAGAAGCATCTAGATCACCCTGTCCCAGAACAGGAAGTCAGCACAGAGCAGAAAGAATGTGGTCACTGGGGCCTCTGATGATCTGAACTGCACCTTCTGCTTTCTTAGAAGGAATCAGTTGTATGAGTCTGGCCACTTGCTCTGCTCTGAGTCAACAGTGCATTGAATTCCTTTTGAAACACGAAGCTGGTTATCACCCTCTCTGGACAGCAAGCGTTGATTGGCAACATTGCTACTTGTCAGTGTATTCTCTGAGTTCTCCCCCTTGCTTGTCCAGCTTCTGACCAAGATTTTGAACCATGAAAGAATTAGGGCTTTCTTAATTACCAGTGTTTAGTTGCACTAATAGAGACTTCTCCTATCTGGATTCTTCTTGTTTTTGTCTTGGATTGTTGCCTGACTTAGGTTGGGCTTTTGGCCCAGTGACTCACGGGAAAGTGCTATATTAAAAACTTGCAGCTAATGTTTTAAATCAACCAGCAAAGACATAACTAGCAAAACACACTCTGCCAGCCAACAAAACCCTGCCTCTGGGCGGGGGGCGGAGGGGGGGAGTGTAGGACACTGCTAAAGGCTTCCCTTCCCTCTGAGGTAACTGTCTAGTTTTTTCTTAAGTGACCAGAGGATGGGGGAAAATCTCAATTTTTTTAAACTTTTTTTTTTCAACCTTAAAGTTTAGAAAAAGTCAACTGGATGTAACATAACGTGTCACTTTCCCCCCCTGTTTTTTGCCCTGTGTTACCTCTTCCCATGATCTTAAAGATTTTCATAAAGTGAATGTATCAAATACTGAAATGCATAGAAAGAGCTATATACCACCTGATTTGGGGTTTACATCAGTGGGATGATTTATATAATGTGATAACCAATATAAACTTTGTGGGGTGTGTGTGTGTGTGTGTGTGTGTGTGTGTGTGTGTGTGTGAGATGTGTACTGTGTGTGTGTGTGTGTGTGTGTATGTGTGTGTGTGTGTGTGTGTGAGATGTGTGGTATATGTACCCATGAATGTACAGGTAGGCATGTGTGCTCATGGAGGCCAGAACATCAGGTGTCCTTCCCGATCACTGTCTGCCTTACTCTTTTGAGACGGCCTTTCACTGAACCTGAAGTCCACAGCCAGCAAACCCCACTGATCCTTCAGTCTCCACCTCCCACAGCACTGGGGTTTAGAGGCTTGTGTGGTGGCTTTTTTTAAAAAAACATGTGTACTGGGGATTTGAACTCAAGTCCTCATGTTTATGCAGCAAATGCTCTTACCCACTGTGCCATTTCCCCCATCCAAATAATATAAAGTTTTAAAATTGAATATTTATATCTGTAAGATAAATTGAATGTTCAAATAAGACATTTTAAGTTACATTTTATGTTTTTCTTTTCCTGAAATATCTTTAGTTCCACAAGCTATATATTTACTTATTTATTTTAAAACATGTAGCATTCTATGGCTCTACATGAAAAGTTTATTGTTTGGAAGTCAGGCTAAAGAGAAGGCAATAAATTACAATGTTGTATTTGATATAGGGGCTGTTCACTCTAAACTTATTAAAGAACTAAATAAATCATGCATAGACAACCAACCAGTGTATTAACTTTTTCATTTATTTTTAAATTTAAAAATAACATAAGAAGAATGCACATCTATATTGTAATTTTATTTTATTTTAGTAAAAGTGGAAGCAAGCAATTTAGGTGACTTTAATTTACAACACGAACAGGAGACTCTCAGAGTCATCTAAAACCTCAGCAGAAAATTCGATTATAAAAGTTTATACAAAACTTTTTCAGCTTCTCCATTCCCAGAAAGACATGAGAGGATCTAAGATCCGGAGCTATCTGTTTCTGGAAATACTATTTGCCCTCCTGACAGGTAAGAAAACCCAGGAAGAAAGCAAGAATGTCACGGATATGGAAGAACTGGCTGCCTCTGCCTGCTTACAGAAACCTAATGCTCAAAAATAATAAAAAGAAAATTGGCTGTCAAAACAGCATTTCCGTAGTCTCTTTTGAAGTGAATCTTCTTTTACTTTAAAAAAACAAAAACAAAAACAAAAAACCCTACAAATGAAGGTTCTTTGGAAAAGGACGAATTTGGCAGTTTCGAAACTCAGAAGATAAACACAGCAGTCAATGTCCCATCCCTCCCCCTAAGCACCTCAGCAAATAACCCTGGGCCATGGGGACATGGGCCATAGTCTGGGTCTCCTCAGCTTCTCAAGGGGGCTGGGGAGGTCAGGGGTAAAGGTGGAACAAGGGAAGTGTCATTTTAGTCTGGAGGGAGGGAGGGAGGGAGGGAGGGAGAGGAGAGAGAGACTGCTATGTCAGCTAAAAACATTTGTGTTCTTTCCTGGTTTGATGTCAGCTCCCAGGACTGGCTCAGAATTGCCCACAGTGATATTGGGCCCCTGCCCACTCAGCAGGCAGACCACTTACCCTGCCAGCAATAGACATTTAATAAAACAAGATGCTGTCCCTTTACTATCCTGAGAATCAATCCCTGTCCTGTGAAAACATCCCCCACTGGCCCCAGCAAGCAGCAAGTTTTTATGCAGAGCCCCCTCTGGTGTTCCTGGGGCGTCCTGACTAAGGCCTCACCTACAGAGCGCTTGCTTCTCTTGCAATGTCTCAGGGCATTTTGCCTTCTGTGAAAGACTGCCTGACCTAGCTAAGCTGTGTTACAAAATGATTAAGTATTAATGGCTGAGTACTGAGTGAACATGTGACAGATTGGGAGACGTGCATGCAGTCATGAAGTGGACTTACATGACCTCATAAGAGACCAAATTACAGCTCAAAAGACAAGTCATGGTTGCTGATAGGAAAAGCCTAGCAACTTGACTGGATTCAATTCCCAAATCTGTCCTTGTTTAGCCTGTGGCATTGGGCAAGCTGATGCGTATATGCGTATATCTCTTAACTTGTAATATGCACAGCAGGTAGATCATAGGCTGACAAATACTCAGATCCACACAGACACTGAGAATCACACATACCTCTTTCTTCCCTAGCCCAGATGTGATAGCCAGGTCAGCTACACCCAAATGATCAGAACTGGCACTGGGATAAAGGCCTGTGACGGATTCTGAGCCTTGCTCTAAGGCAGGTGCACTTCTGTTTACTTTGAAGTTGGGGAGGAATGGAACAAATTGGTGCTGCACAGTGTGGTTCATTCCTTCTCTCACTTGAGGAAGTTCCATGACTTTGGAAAAGAAGAGAGTGAGAAAGTCAAGGGAGGGAACATCTGGGCATGGGGAGGGAGTCAGAGTAGGGAGTTTTGTCTCCTGAAACACAGCCCAGATCCACCCCAGAACAGCGGGGTCCTGGAAGGAAGCAGGGTGTACCAGCCAACATCTGAGAAGAGCATGCTAAGGCAGACTAACCAGGGCGAACAGAGAACCTTCAAATGGCAATTTCAGAGGGAGGAATGCAGGGTGCCCAGAGAACCAAGTGCGGCCCAGGACACAATCCTTCAGGACCAAGTGCACCTTCGGGGAATGAACAGCTACTGTCCCATGCTGCTTGGATCAGGATGGTGCTGGGCCAGGGGAGGGGACATTGTGGACACCTTTCCACTTCCATGTAGGCGACAAAGCACCTCAATTGCCATTTTAGACCCAATGGGAGAAAGTGCTGCAAAAGAATGTCAGACTAGGGGAGGGAGGAAAAGGCAATTCCAGGCTGCTGACAATACCATCTGTGGCTCTGAGGTGGCTCCGAGGTGGCATGAAGTTGTCTTGCACAGCCACGGTGAGTGGTCAGACAAGACCAAGAATCTGTTTCAGAGAAAGACAAGCAAAGATAAAATTCAGCCCCGCAAGGCAGCTGGGCAGAGTCCAAGGGTGACTCCAAGGTCAGTTGCCAGGTGTTGATAACCCATCTAGAAGGCAGACTAGGCCAATTAATTACTAGCTCTTAGAACCAAACTGGGGGTGGGGGGAACACATTGAGGCCAGGAGGTGTCAGACAAGAGTCAAGGTCAGGAATGCCTGACTCAAGTGAGTGGGGAATAAGACGCAGGGACTTGGGGTCGAAGCTTGGGGTCACTGGTATCCATTCTGGTCAAGTCTGTTAGGGTAGAAAATCACTACATGTCAAGAACTGGCTAGGCCTTAGTCAGAGTGGAAGAGGTACCTGGTAGTGCCGGCAGCACTGGGCACAACTGGGAAGGCTCTGGTGGTTTCCTCTATAGGGCAGCAAGTCTCCCACATTTAGAGTCTGCGCTAGGTCCTGTTGTCAGAGTGAGGAGCTAAGTCTACACTCTGGGGTCAGCCCTGGGGGCTGGCTGAACCTGCGTTTCCTTGCTTCCATGGGAAGCAGGTAGACCCAAGTCCTGAAGACAATGAGAACTCTGAGCCCAACTGTGTCTAAAGTCAGGTGGCCTTTGGATTTTGCTTGATGGGAATCCCTTGGGGGTGGCGGGGGGGGGGGGGTCTTCTACACAAAAGGTTCTTTTATGTCTTTAAACCAGTTTGAATAGGTTTTTCTCACGTTTGACCTCCAAGTTTTTCAGTAACACCTAGATAATGGTTATCACTGTGAACCACAGCTGAGAGCCGGACCACAGCTCTGGGAAATCCTATCACCACACTCAGTTTAGAGAGAACCTAGGGCCTAGTGCTGTGCAGTGTTAATGTGGAAGAGGGACCAGGGAGTCAGAATTCACACGGGTTCTGAGAGGGACAAGAGAGGTGGAGGAACCCCAAAACTCTGCTTAAGAAGTAGTGACTCAGACTCCGCCAGCCGCGCTCACCCTTCCATCTCCCGCGCTGTTCTTCTCTACTCCTAGCTTGGGCCCTGTGCCATTCCTAGCCTTGGGGCCCCAGACACCTGGGGAGCCACTGCTGATTCCTGACCCTGTTCACCCCCACCGGCTTGGTGCCTTCCTTGGGCCCCAGGAGCACTGCCTCTGGACCCGGCCCTGCCCTCACCTCTCTCTGCTCCCCCGGACCTGC